TGGGAGCGGTGTGAGTGGGGGCAGCAGCGCCGACCTTCCTGTTCAGCACGTCCTGCCAGTTGATGGCGGCGAAGAAGCGGTGCTCCATCACCTCCTGCGCGTCCGCGGGGCCGCCGCCGAGCCTGGGGGCAACAGAGACACAGCTTCGCGCACGGCGACCCACAGCGCCACCCACAGCGCCACCCACAGCACCACCCACAGCGCGACCCACAGTGCGACCCACAGTGCGACCCACAGCGCCCAGTGTGTGACCCACAGCACAACCCACAGCACCCCATATGTGACCCACAGCGCGACCCACAGCGCCACCCACAGCGCCCCATATGTGACCCACAGCGCCACCCACAGCGCCACCCACAGCGCCCAGTGTGTGACCCACAGCGCCACCCACAGCGCGACCCACAGCGCGACCCACAGCACCCCATATGTGACCCACAGCGCGACCCACAGCGCCCAGTGTGTGACCCACAGCGCGACCCACAGCACCCCATATGTGACCCACAGCACCACCCACAGCGCCACCCACAGCGCCCAGTGTGTGACCCACAGTGCGACCCACAGCGCGACCCACAGCACCCAGTGTGTGACCCACAGCGCGACCCACAGCACCCCATATGTGACCCACAGCGCGACCCACAGCGCAACCTACTGCACCCACAATGCAACCCACAGCACCCACAGCGCGACCCACAGCGCCACCCACAGCACCACCCACAGCGCCCAGTGTGTGACCCACAGTGTGACCCACAGCACCCAGTGTGTGACCCACAACACGACCCACAGGACCCAGTGTGACCCACAGTGCAACCCACTGCACCCACACAGCCCTGTGCTGTGACCCACATGGCCCCACAGCACCCAGTGCGACCCACAGCACCCAGTGTGACGCACAGCACCCAGCGTGACCCACAGCACCCACAGTGCGACCCAGGGAAGCCCCCAACCACCACAATCCCTCCCAGGGGAGTCCCCAAAGCCCCATAGAAACCCCCAAAGCCCCCCAACCCCCCAGCAGAGCCCCCAAACCCCCCAGCAGAGCCCCCAACCACCCACAGAAGCCCCCAGAC